GCCCGTACCCACCCGTTTTTTGTTTTGGCCAACTGTACCTGCCCATACCCATTTTTTTTTTTTTTTATGACCGCCCATACCCGGTTTTTTTTTTTCACTCCTACCCCTACCTGCCCCTACCCACCCATGATCTCCAAAAAGGGCAACTGTGCCCGCCCTAACAACCACCACCTTTTGTTTGTACCTGCCCATACCCAACTCCCCCTTTGGAAGGGGTACCCATACCCGCCCATAACCTGGCGGTTATAGTTGGGTACGGCCGGGTACGGCCAACGGTTACCCATTTGCGCTCTCTGGTCCCTATGTACTATCTCGGCCTGCCTCCTGACTGCCTCCGACTGCCTGCAGTTGCAGGTTGCAGGGCGGGCAGTCCAGGAGGCTGCTCTTGCCAATGCCGAACTGAGCCAGGGGCTGGCACTGCAGCTGTAGTGGGAACAGGCCAAAAATAGCCTGTTCCTAAAACTCTGGTTCGGTGCCTGAGTTTCAGGGCAGGCCGGTCGGATTACAGACCGGAAATGGCCCTTCATTTCAGGCTAAAAAGGCTACTGCCATTTTTAGTCTGAAACGACACAGGGTTTGTAGGCCCCTGTTTTTCAGGCTTTCGAGCTGAATGGTCACGGGCCTGTAGGCCCTGGTTTTCAGGCTTTCAGCCTGGGGGACGTAGGACCTGGAAAATGGCCCTTGTGTGCAGGCGCAACATGTAACACCTCCTTATGAAGTCAAGTCGGGGCGAGGGCGAAGTTGACGATCTGAAGGCGGAACGTGGACACGGGCGTGGCGTGGAGTCGAAGAGACCAGCTTGCCTTGCATCTTGCGTTCCTAGCGTGCGAGAACATCCGGAGCTGTTGCTTGAAGTTCCACACGGGTCAACCAACGGTCAGCTGGATGTGTGCAGTATGCAAAATGTACCAAGTACTCGGTTGACCTGTTGCCGTAGCGTCGATGGGAGATGATGTTGCCGACCTCCTGAAAACCGTCCGTAGAGGGTTGGTCTTGCGAACGTCTCCCAGGAAAATCGTCATGTTCCGCTAGTGTGTAAAGAACCAACTTGGAGCAATGAAAGACTGGGTAGACGGGCAAGTGGGCGGGCACCTGAATAGTGAAGGAAGGTCCCTCGGGTGTATCCACATCGGGTGCCACGATCGACCAAGACCCCATCCATTTCTGGAGGAGCTTGCGAGAGATATCTTGTTCAAGGCTGAATTCCGCGGCGGAGACCCAAACGAGATCGCTGGCGCGGAATGGGCAAGGAAGACGCTGGCGATTGGCCTKTTGGCTCATGCGTTGCTGCGTCTTGGCCATCTGGTCGCGTGCCTTGACAAGTAGCTCTTGCATCCGACGCAAGAAAAGAAGATGGTCGTCGCTCTCGGCCGTTCATGGAGTGATGGTATCCAACGGCGAAGTGACCGGCGAGCCGTGCTCGAACTCGAAGGGCGACATCCCGATAGCCGGGTGGATGGAGGAGTTGTAGGCCAACTCGACATCCGGCAGCCGCTCAACCCAATCCTTCTGGTCAGGACGGATGAGAGTGCGAAGGAGAACTTGTGTGGTCTGGTGCGCCCTCTCCATTTGGCCATCGGTCTGGGGGTGGCGAGCTGAACTGGGCTTGAGAGATGAGCCCCATCGCTTGATGAGAGCCAACCAAAAATTGGACATGAACCGAGTGTCGCGGTCGCAGACGATTTCCTTAGGGTAATCCTTGGTTCGAATCCAACCCGCATAAAGAACCTCGGCCAACTCTGGTGCTTTGGCATGATAGCGGCAAGGCAAAAACATAGCGAACTTGGTGAGTCGGTCGACCACCGTGAGAATCCCATCCACGCTGGTCTTGTGCTTGGGGAACGGGCCGGTAATGTCCATGGCAATTGCTTCCCTTCGCCTCAAAGGGACCGGTAATGGTCGTAACTCGCCGTACGAACGGTGGTTGCGGGATTTGCAGCGTCGGGAAACCTCGCATAACTCGCAAAAACGTGTGATGCCGCCGAGAAGGCCGGGCCACCAAAATCGCTCGCGAAGTCGGCCAATCGTGCGATTGAATCCAAAGTGTCCAGTGGCGGGGGCATCGTGGAACTCGCCAAAAAGCCGTGTACGCAAGTGAGGATCACTCGGTACGCAAAGAAGGTTCTTCCCCCGTGTATGGACAAGCAAGTACCCCTCTTGGATCCGGTAGTGAGAAGGCGCCGGATTAGGAGAGGAGCAATTTGCGTGCTTGTCGCGAAACTCGGGGTCGGCTTGGTAGCCGTGGATGAAGTTGTTCCGCAGGTCGTCGTCGATCTCGAAGGTTGAGTAGACCGCGGTACAATGATCCGGACGCCGTGAAAGAGCATCCGCAAAACGGTTTGACTTCCCGGGAATGTGATCGGGAAAGAAGTCGAACTGGTCGATGAAAGCCATCCATCGAGCGATGGTGCTGTTGACGGTGTCTTGGGTCTTGTAGAAGACCAATGGATTGTTGTCCGTTACCCATTGGAATTGGCTTCGACCAAGGAGGAAGTGTCGCCACCGCTTGAGCGCGTGGACGAAGGCGAGGAGCTCCTTCTTGTGTGCATCGTCAATGGAATGCACGATGAGCACTTTCTTCCTGAAATACTCGATCGGGTGTCAGTCCACACCATCATGTTGCTCGAGGACGACACCAATGCCATAGCCAGACGCATCTGTAGTGACGCATGTAGGCAAAAGCGGGTCGTATATGTGCAAGACCTCCGCAGATAATAGCGCGGCTTTGAGAGCCAAAAATGATTCCCGTGCCTCCTCTCCAAAGTCAAACGGCCGATCCTTGCATTGAAGCTTGGTCAAGTGGGCCGCGATCTTCGAGTAGCCTTTGATGAAACGCTGATAGTAGCTGGCGAGGCCAAGGAACGAACGGACAACTGTGACGTTCCGAGGATCCAGCCACTCTTGGATGGCTTGAATCTTGTCCGATAGCGGACTGATGCCCTCCGGTGTGACAAAATGGCCCAAGTATTCCAGCTCTTGCCGGACAAATTCGCACTTGTTGAGGTTGGCCTTGTACTTGGCGCGGCGGAGCGTCTCCAACAGTCGTCGAAGATGCCCAAGATGATCCTCCAATGTCTGGCTATAGACGAGAGTATCGTCTAAGTAGACCAGCACGAACCGGTCCAACATTGCACGAAACTCATTGGTCATTGCCACTTGAAAGGTCGCCAGGGCGTTGGTGACGCCAAAAGGCATGACCACCCACTCAAAATGCCCATACCACGTCTTGAACGTGGATTTGTAGCGATCGTTTGGCCGGATCGAGATTTGATGATATCCCGACTTCAAATCCAACTTAGAAAAATACTTTGTGCCGCCCAATCACTCAAGAAGATCGTCGATGCGAGGAAGAGGCCCCGCATTCTTGACGGTTTGTGCGTTGAGCTTGCGGTAGTCGATACACAGTCGTAGATCCTTGTTCTTCTTCCGGACGAAGAGAACTGGGCCATATGGGGAGCTACTAGGGCGGATCCAGCCCTTGGCCAACAAATCGTCGAGTTGTGCACGGAAAACCTCAAGCTTCTCCTCGCTCATCCGATAGATGCAACCTTTTGGCGGCACGACGCAAGCCTCAAGAATGATCTTGTGAGAGATCGGCCGATCCGTCACCACACCGGTAGGTGACTCGAAGATGTCCGCGGACTCGTCCAGCAACCGCACCACTCGGGGGTCCGAAGACAAGTCCGTGGGTGAAGAGTCGGCTACCGCGACGGTCCGTAGGAAACATAGGCCGATTTCCTTGGGCTGCTCGAAAGCGCAAGTCACCCGGAATGATTTGGCCGTCACCACTTGACACCGAATCGAAGGGTGCGGAAGAGGAATAGTACACGTCACTTCGGCACCGAAGGCGTCGCGAACGCTAAGAGTCCGCTGGTGGAAGTTGACCATGTGATCCGCACTTGCAATCCAACGCATTCCCATAATGATATCGAAGTCCGTGTCCAAAATGTCGAACGTCACCGGTTCGCATGCATGAGGTGTGAAATACACCGGTACGACCTCGATGTAACGGTCGAGAAGTTGTTGCATCTTTCCATCCGCCAACTTGATCGTCGTCGGGTTTGCCTTCCTCCGAACTTTTGTGCCAAGGCCAACCCTTTGCATCAAGAAAGAAGTGAAGAAGTTGATGGGAGATGCCATGAAGTTTGCTAGTCCAACAATTAAGACGACGACCAATGGGAATGGACCATCGAATCCACCGTCCTCTCCGTTTAACTCCTCTCATTCGTCTTCTTCTCCCAAGTCTCCTTCTTCGACAAATCCGGGCAAGACAATTGCAGAACCGGAGAAGCCAAAGAAGAAAGAGAAAGTGAAAATGAAGTTGTCTTTCACGTTTAATAATAAGAAAGATGAGAGTCTGTTGCTTTGGATTGCTGAAATCCAAACGTATTTAAGCACCGCTCCAGTCGAACTGGAGTCCCAAGTTGCATTCGCCACCTCTTGTATGGGAGGTGAGGCCAAACGATGGGTGTTGGCTGAGGCCAACGCCGCAGAATTCGAAGACATCGACGAGTGGGCAAAGACCTTGACCATGAAACAGTTCTTGGCCAAGATCAAGGGCCGTTTCCTCGATAAGACAACGCCCGACAAGGCATTTGACCAGTTAACAACAATTGGTCAAAAACATTGGACGTCGGTCGAGGGGCTGTCCCGCGAAGTCGACCGATTGTTGTAGGTTCCAGGACTGAACCTGCAAGACAGCCAAGTGTTGTACATCTACTCCCGCGCGTTGCCTGAGCCCATCCGGGGACACCTGGTTGCCGAAGCAAAGTCAGGTAAGTATAACTATAGGCAATTTCGAGACCTTGCTTTGCAAAGGGAGTGAATGACTTCTCAAGTCAAAAACTCCTATGCAGTTGTAGTTAAGTCTGGAGCAGGAGGAGGAGGAGGAAAGACGTACGATGGAAAACGAATTCTGTGGCGACAAAAGTGTCAGGACCACACCCTTGTTGTATTCGATGATGACACAGTGGAAAAATGACCGATAGAAGAAAAAAATGAAAAGGATAACAACAGTGACTCCGGTAAGGGGGAAGTCACTGTTGTTGTGGCCACCAGGGGAGGGCCACCCAAAAATCCTATAAGGAAGAAACCGCGCGCGTTTCAATAGCACCATGACATTGCCGAAGGGAAGCCTTGGTTGAAGATGGGGATGACTCGTGACACTTGGCAGGAGTGCATGGACAATGCGCAATGTCTTAAATGCGGCACACCAGGACATATGATCGCATACTGCCCAGTGATTAGAAACCTAAGAACGAGCAGCCAGTTGGAGTAGCATCTGCTCCTACTGAGATAAAGGGTAAGGACGAACAGACAGGTAAGGCGCCTACGAACCCTTCCTACCCTTCTTCTCATATGGCAGAGGATGATTCTTCCTTAGTCCATCATCCAGACCGCCTTGACATTATCTTTTGCCTCTCGGGATGACTCCCTTGATGAGCAGGGTAATGAATTGCTAGCCTTACGTAGCTCATGGGTGCGAAAAGCAAAGTCTAAGGGCCAATTGTTGTTTGCGGATGTAGAAATCGCACGAACACGAGTGGGTGCGTTGTTGGACCCCAGATCGACGAGGTCCTACATATCCGAGAAATCAATCTACAAGTTGCATCTTGGAATGAAGGTAAAAGGTTTATCTCGACCAATCACGTCTATATTAGCAAACAAGAGTACGATTACTGTCTCCCAGTATGTTGATCGTATTAAGTGTCAGTTTAAAACTACAGAAGGGAAGAAGATTATGCATGAGTTATCCTTCCTAGTTGAGAGTCTTCTTCTTCCTGCCCTCCAACTATTAAAAGACTTCTCTTTGATTTTAAGGATCTGTACACTGGACCTTCAGGAATCACGGAACTTGCTATTAAGCACACCATTGAAATCATTCCGGGTAGTAAGATTCCCAAGGGCCCTATCATCGAATATCTCCCAGGGAACTTGAGGAATTAAAGAAACAACTGCAAGACCTTACTACCAAGGGATGGATTCACCCTAGCTAATCTCGCTATGGTGCACTTGTCTTGTTTTTGCCCAAAAAGGAAGGTGAACTACGTTTTTGCATTGACTATCGAGGGTTGAATGTCGTCACTGTCAAGAACGCCGAACCGCTTCCTCGCATTGACGACCTACTTGATCAACTGCAGGGTTGTAAGTATTTCAGTAAGATTGATGTAAAGTCTGGGTACCATCAGATCGAGGTGGAACCTATAGATCAACATAAGACTGCATTTCGGACAAGGTATGACCATTACGAGTTCGTTGTAATGCCTTTCGGATTGACAAATGTCCATGCGACGTTCCAACGATCAATGAATGAATTGTTTCGTCAATGGCTGGATCGGTTCGTTATTGTCTATCTTGATGATATTCTTGTGTATAGTAAAACGTTAGAAGATCACGAAAAATATCTTCGCCTAGTGTTAAAGAAGTTGCGAGAAGACGACTTTAAGATAAACCCAAAGAAGTCTTAGTTCGCTAAGTCCGAAGTCTTATACTTAGGACATATAGTGAACGACGAAGGTCTCAGGCCGGAAGAAAAGAAGATATCAGCAATTCGAGATTGGTCATGACCTAAGTCTGTAACTGAACTACGATCTTTCTTTGGTTTGGCAAGTTATTATAGAAAGTTCGTTAGGAACTTTTCACTGATCGCTGCACCAATGAGAAGATTGTTGAAAAAAGGAACTATCTGGTTGTGGGACAAGGACTGTGAGTCTTCCTTTAAGAAGATAAAGTATGTTTTAACTCATTATCCTGTTATGAAAATTGTTGATCCATCACTTCCCTTCATTGTCACTACTGATGCAAGTCAGTACGGAATTGGCGCAGTCCTTCAACAAGACGACGACAATGGTTATAAACCAATTGAGTTTATGTCAGCACGATTGCCATCAGAAAAGGGCGCCAACTCCACATATGAAAGAGAACTGTATGCCTCAGTCTGTGCGCTGGACACATGGAACCACTACTTGTTAGGGAGACACTTCACTGTGTACTCAGACCACTCGGTACTAAAGTGGATAAAGAAACAGTCTAGACTCGCTGATAAGTTAGTACGATGGTCTGCATTCATTGATACTTTTGATTTTGAGTTGAAAACTATCAAAGGTAAGTCTAATGTGGTTGCAGATGCATTGTCCAAACGATGTGATTTATTTGGTGCTATTATCTCTTATTTGGATGTTCGGAATGATTTGAAAGATAAAATTCGTCAAGGATATGTTACTGACCCTATCTGGAAACCTATCATGGATGTCCTTGTGAAAGACCCAACTTTACTTCCCAACTGTCGAATAACCGATGGTTTGTTTTTCTTGTTAGACCAAACAGAACAAAGATTGTGTATTCCTCACAAAGAAGAACTTAAAAGTTTGTTGATTGGGGAATGTCACGACAATGAAGGACATTTTGGTTTCAAGAAAATGTACGTTGAGGTTAGAGAATGTTTCGAGTGGAAGGGATTGAAGGAAGACGTACTAACTTATGTTCGTACATGTCTAGTGTATCAGAGAAACAAACCTTCACACGAGAATCCACTTGGTCTTCTGAAACCATTACGTATTCCTAACGAACTAGGTGAGTCTATCTCAATTGATTTTATGAGCCTCACCGAATGGCAATAGTCAAGTAATGGTTATTGTGAATCGTTTCTCTAAATATGCCATGTTTATTCCCTTACCCGTAGAAGCACGAACAAAACTTGTCATACAAAAGTTTCAGATGCGATGGGTGACTGAGTATGGTTTTCCTCTCTCTATTGTATCTGATCGTGATGCCAGGTTCACAAGTATGCCATGGCAAAAGCTCATGGAAGCATACGGTACACGATTGACCATGTCGTCAAGGCGACACCTTGAAACGAATGGATAAAGTGAACAAATGAACTGTTTGTGTCAGCAGTTTTTGCGTATGTATGTAAGACCCGATCAGATTGATTGGGACAAAAACTTACCCAAGATAGCAAGTGCATATAACAATAGTGTTCATACCGCTACAGGACACACGTCTAATGCACTGCACAAGGGGTGGAAACCTAAGCGTCCCATTGATGTGTTAACACAAGACAAGTTTCTTAGGTTACCTCCAGGGACCCGGGAGTATGCAGTATTGTTTCAAGAAGACATTAAGAAAGTAAAGAACAATTTGAAGAGAGCTCAGGACCAGATGATTGAACAAGCTAACAATCATCGCCAACCATCAACATTCAAGGAAGGCGATCTAGTCTGGGTCAAGTCCAAAGAGTTTTCGTTGGAAGAAGATGTGTCTCAGAAATTTATACCTGTCTATTTTGGACCCTGGGAAGTTCTCAAAGTACTTGGGGATGCAGAGGGACCGTCTTATCGTATTGATATTCCCCCTCACCTCAGAACGTATCCTATCTTTCACGCGTCCAAATTGTTACCCTACGTAGAAGGAATTGAGTTCCCAAACAGACCATCTATGATTCCGCCATCCATGGAAGGCAGATATGAAGTAGACAGAATCATAGAACATGGGTACTTCTGTACACGTGGACGTGGACGACCCCATATGAAGTTCAAGGTACGTTTTAAATCTCAAGCACCATCCGAGGACAAATGGTTTAGTAAACGAGAATTACTTGAAACTGCTCCTGGTATTGTATCTGCATATGAATGTGGGTTATATCCTTAGTTATTTCTACGATTGAACTCGAAAATGGGTCGGCAGAAATGCAGTAACCCCTATTCCGCAGCAGTCTAGGCCTCAAACGAAGCCCAGACTACACAGGCCAAACTCAGCCTGTGCCTAGCAGTGTGACCACACACTGCTCTGGAAAGTCAAAAGTGTAAGTCAACTGTCAAAGGTACCACGCACAGGCCCTTGGTTGGATACACTCACTTGTTGTGCGCAGGTACCCAGACAGTATCAAGGCCACAAAGAGTTCGCTTTCAGTCCTATCTGGGCCGTCATTTGCCTAGAGATCTCAACGGCCGAGGGAAGCAGCAATCGGGGTCCAGACCCGACATCAACGCTACATAAGCCTGGACCTCCGGAGAACATTCTGTCTTGCGTCAATGCTGACTTCACGCGTTGACTACGACGCTAGTGCGACGCTGCGACGCTGGCTCTACGCTGGCACTTAGGGCGACTACGGCGACGTGCTGCTGGCTTGGCACGGTGGATGGCTGGCGATTGTCTTCA